GAGGAAACTACAGTTGAAGTGTAAAAGAGGAATTTCTTCTTGTTTTCGCCGTCACATTGCTGAGGGGATTTCTGCGGTGTCAGTGAATTTCGCCAAATGTTACAGAGTTGTTTCGATGAACTTTCACAGAAATTAAAAGTGTATATTTTTCAACCAGTTTTGACTGAAATGTGTTTTTCACAAGTGACTCGTTTCAGTTATTTATCGCAACTGACTATTGATCCAAAGTAAGAATCAGTCGGCATCATCTTCAGCGTGTTTGGGTTCAGTGGAGACATCCTGATGTCTTGGATCTAGATCAAAGCTTAATTATTCATACAAATAAGCTCTCTTACTTTTGAAGCAATGTGAACCAACCTTGAAACAACAACAGCAAAAATCAAATCAAAATATTTAAGTCAGTGTACAGGATTATATGTGTGTGTGAATTGTAGTATTAATAGAAATTTTCCAATATACCACGTTAAGAAGTGACTCCTGTTTCTAATCCAGATGAATAATTAAATCACAGCTTTTGCAATAACTGTGCAATAAGTTGCAAGTATGAGATGTTGTCCATGCTGTGTGACAGCACATCAGATCTCCATTCATATCAAACATGCTTCTGTTACATGAAAAAGCAGCTTAGCTGTAATAGATGACAATAACAGACTAAAGTCAAAGGGCAGATGCGATGAGAGAGTCGCAGGTTTGATTCCTTCAGTGTTTACTCAGTTTGTCCCTGCTGTCCATTAGCAGGATGCGGGGCCGTGACCTGGCTGCTACAGTGGGGCTACAGTGGTGACAGAAAGAGGCAAACAGTTTACTGTAAATTCCTGACGCCTGTGTTCGATGCTCAGTGTTGAAGCTATTTTGGGAAACTAGCACAAACATACAGTGAAGTCTGTTTATTTACGTCTCCGCGGGAACATTTCATACCCAGCATGTCAGCCTGGATGTTACCCCCGCTACGACCTTTAGCGCAGCTCTGAGGCTCCGGGCTTCGAGTTTCTTCGTTGCTGTATCAGATGAGCTACACCTGAACAGTCCTTTGCTGCGATGCTGTATATTGTCTTCCTGCAACACTTGGCAATTTTCTCACACTCACGGGAGACATTTTTATTAAACCTCCAGGCTGTGGCTGGCTCCATGCTGATTCTTACCTGAATAGACAAACTGGAAATTTTTCACTCAGGCATTCAGCATTGTCTACCCTGGAGGGGTGTGAACGAGTTAAAATGAAAAAGCCCCACTTCCTTTTGACATGTATGGACCAGATTGTAATCAATACTGGTTTGGCTGGGAAAACCCAACCACTGGAATACTTACTGATGATATCTTCCTTATTGTAAATGGATAAAGTGAAACAAAAACTGCCAAAACAAACAGACCCATCCCACCTGTCTGTTAAAACCTGATGTTTGTGTTAATAAAGAATAAGCCACACCTATCTGTGGACTAGCATGATCCACTATTACATTATAATCCTGCTGCATAATCCACAATAAGTGAACTTAAGAACATTTACAGGTCTTATTGCTCATTTTTATCCAAAACAACTTCCTTGTGACCTTTATTCTTTGTCATCAGTGTAAAAGCAGACGCTCTGGGATAACTGAGCCACAGGCTATGATGATATATTCTTACAGATGAACGGATAGTTTCACACACTATGGACAAGTACTTCATATAAGCATGTGTGTGTATATTCTTCAGTTTTGGAAATTTTTAAAAGTTGCATTTAAAGGAAACACTGTATATTTGACTATTACGTCCTAAATACCAAATCGAACATATAACCATGTAAACATTTCCGACTACCTCGCAGGATTGGTAATGTGTTGCAGACCACCCAGATCCTCACGTTCACCTTCTCATTCCTGAATTTCCATCTCTTGGGCCAAAGCAGACCTTCGTGCATGTGAAGCTGCACAAACTGTCACACTAATAAAGCACCTGGTTGGTTGTGGTCACATGATGTAAAAAATATGAAAGTAAAGCCTGTCTAGTTTTCTCTCGTGCTCCTTAACAGGACGGCCTCTAATCTCATTTGTCACAGAGGAGGCCTTCATAAAACACACAAACAACTTATTCAAAGGTTGTTTTCTTGGTGATTTCTTTCATTTTTATTGCAGTTTACAGCATGAGGAACAAATGTGCTCCAAATACATGGACGTTTCAGTTAAATGAAAACCAACCGAGCATTACTTCCTGCATTTCATTTGCGCCTCGTGGTCTTCCCCACAGTGACTTCGAGCCTGATCTCTATGCAGTCATTTAAGTGAGAGAAAAGCCAGATTAGTGCATATACATAAATCTGCGCTAATCCTGGATTACGTAATCCAAGTGGATGTTGATGAGATTTGGGATGATTTGCTGTTATTGTACCAGGGCTTATTACTCTGTTCTGACATGTGGAGAAAGTCATCCAGTACAGATTTCTAAACTAAACTAAACTATCAATCAGTGCATCATTTTTGCATGACTCGTGGTTCTGTATGTTCACCGGCCTGACTGCAGGGAGAAGTGTAATCAGCCTGCTGTTGTTTAAAGCTTATAGGAACATTAAGGAAGCTTCTGAACAAATAAATATCAGTCAAAAATCAGTTTTGTTAGACGACAACATATTTTCTGCAGATATAAGGGAAGAAAATTAGTCATTTAAAGGTTCACTTGTACCACGCTCCCAATTCTGCCTCCAGTCGGGCTTTCATTGATGCAAAAAATTTGTATTTATTGATGTGTGTAGTTGGACCAAAGAGTAATAACTAAAAATGCAGTATTAGAATACACTTACAATGGCCCCTCTATCTCATGAGAGAGAACACGGCGGCATTGCCAAGATTAGAGTTTGCCAGAGAACACAGCATCAAAGGATTTAATACAGTTGTCACTTAACGATTGTGGTTTGCATGTTTATTTCATTTAATACGGATCCATTTTCCCCCTTTTTTTTCAAAGGAATCTAATATAGCAGCCTTCCACATAATAATGCAAACCAAAATGTTTAATTTTGCTACAAAAGGCAGCTTCCTTTTATGTGTCGCCCACTTAGAAACAGTTGTCAGCTTGAGTTGTGTGGACAAATAAGAGAGTGCCAGTGCTGGTTTGAGGAGCTAAACGGGACTTTTTGTATGACTGAAGACAAAGAAAAAGCAGCTGGGAAGTTCAGTTTCTTCCTGCTTCTACAATTCTTTATTTCTACTAATAAAGTCCTATAATTTAATCAGGACAGTGCAGGTAGCCCAGGTTTAGTCATTTCTTTATTACTGTAATTGTTGTCACATAGAGTTTGAAGCTAGGGATTGCAGTTTGAGTTGGTAGGTTTGACAGTAGATGGACTCAGTTATCATGCTGGGTTCACTGTGTTGAGACTACAGGTGTGATAACTGCACAAAAACAACGCAAAATAAGGATCGGATCCAAAATATGGGCTTTTATTCTTTAATAGTGGATTAGAAAAGATTATGTCAAGCATACCAGAGTTCCCAGTTTGACCCAGTGGCCAAATTATCATCCAGAAAATTTCAAGCAGTCTGACGTCAGCATTCGATGGAGTGTTATGAACATTTTTTAGCAATAATCAGTGTGTGGCCCCCACACACTGAATCTTTCTGATTATTTAACCTCCTGGATGTTTCTCACTCTCTACTATAAATGTTAATGACTTTGTTCCTCCTCTATGACGAAATGTTACCATGCTAACAGCTAAACTATGAGAGTAAACACGGTGAACGCTGCTGTGTGGCGATTTATCAAAGTCTCAAAGACTCTATTTAGTACTTGAACAAAATTTGGTGACTGAACATAACACTGGAGCTGAATAGATACAATTATTTACACCGGTTCTAAATAAAATGTTTCTTGTTTTTTAAGTTTTCTGTTTGGCCACTTATTTATTGTATTAATCTTTTCTTTCTTTCTTTTTACTGTATTTTACTTGTGTTTTTTAAAGGTCTAACTAAGAATGGGCTTTGCTGATTAAAGCTATAAATTCATGTTCACCAGAGCCAAGTAAGTCAAAGTAAGTCAGTTCCCTTTAGTGGTTTAGTGGTTTATTGGTGGTGATGTTCACCAACTTTTCTCTATATAAAAACTCTATAAAAACAAAAAATAATTTTTAAAAAGAAGTTTTTGCAAATACAATATCAATGATATGTTCTGCGTTATAACACTACATTCTTTCATTATTTTGAAAGGGAAGCAGCTTTTGCTAATAAAATGTTAGCATTGTGATTGTCCTGCTGCTGCTGGGTTCATACCTGAAATTGAAAGCTGTAAATTTGCTTGTAGTATTTTTTTTCTTTACTAAAATCAAAACCCTTGAAAACCCACGATAAACACTAAACACCATCTATCTAGGAAAAACAACTGAAGTTAGCAGATGTTTAGATGTGTATGTTTAGGCACCAGATGTGTAACTGGGTGGACCGACTGGGACTTCTTTGGTGTCTTTACCATGTTTATTGTCTTCATGGTAACCATTACAATTTCTAAACATGAGTATGCTAGAGCTGTCATCATTAGTGTGCTAAAGTTACAGCTGCAGCTCAAAGCGGAAGCAAATTTAATACAAAAAATTGCTTGTATTACTCATTTCATAAAATCAGTGAGCTCGTGGATTCAATAAAAACAACCTAAACGCGAGTCACTTTCAGAATTACACCATAAGCCCTGCATATAAAATTTATCTAATGTTGTTTTTAATTGTTTAGTTTTTTATTGATGCGTGAACTTCTTGGTTGAAATCTTTACTCATCTCTGTTTAAACATGCTCCCGTTTCTAGAAGCACAGTCCATATTATCCGGAGTTTCCTTTGAAAGGGAATGGCTTCATCGGAAATTTCTGTAAATACAGCAAAGCTAAAATGAGAAAGGGAAAGAGAAATGAAATTGAAAACAAGAGATGAGAGCAGGCAGGGAGGCAGGCAGGGAGGGGGCGCTTCTCTTCTCTGATTGGCTGCCGCCTCTCCCTCGCTGTGAGGTCTTGAGGCTTCTCGCGGCTCCGGAGCTCAGATCCGAGTGAATGCTGCAGAGGAGAGTCAGAGTCAGCACTGCTTCATTTAGACGACTTCTTCTTGGAGCTGACTTGATCCCGTTGGCTCCGTGAAAGCGGGAATACACATTTTTTGTTCTCTTTCGCGTTTGCACCTGAATAATGGTGCACTGAGTGTCCGCAGCCAGGAGCAACTGCTGGGATTGACCGCCTGCTCTGCGCGCATGTGAAAGGAGAAAGTATCGGCTGATCACAGGTTGTTTTCGCTTATTTTCAGAGGAGAGATACCAAAGAGTTTGTCCCTGGATTACGGCTTGTTGAGGTGAGTTGTGCGTGTTTACAGCCGGGCAGTTTTTTGGTTGTTGAATGTTATTCTGCAGACCCGACGTGTCCAAAATGCGCGCAGGTGGTGAAAGAGCGCACTTTCCAGCCAAACGTGAATCTGAATGAGTTGATGCTTTGCGACTCTTTTCCTAAATGATCTGTGAATATCAACATTGCACTTTGGTTTTGTTGTGTACCTTTAGCACCTTTTCCCCCAATATTAGTGCGCCTATATTGACTTTATCCTACTATTACAAAAACAACCGTGGGCAGTAACATCCAAATTGACAGGCTTTACTAAGGCGCTATTTCTGGATTTTTAATTTTGCCTAATTGACCCAAAGACCTGCCCCAAAAATTTGATTTCTGAAATCGGTGTCAGTGGCGGGCTATTTTTAACCCCCACTACCTTCTGGCTAAGAGGATTCCTCGCTCCCTGCCTCTCCTTTGCGAGACGGTGAGGGATCAGTGAAGTTAATCCCGCATCTCTCCTGGGTCACCCTGGCCTGCTGCGCTTGGTTTTTCGTGCCACTGCTTTGTATTAGGAGCATGAGTTGGAGTTTCCTTAATGTGCTGACAAGGTAAATCCGTTTATTGGTTATTTGGCAGGACGCAGGTCGTCTAAAAATGTGAGGGTGCCTCCTGGAAGCCCTTGAATGAGTTATTGTTACTGCGGATTACATGTTTGCTACTGTACTCTGGAATCCCTGAGGTTGTGGTGGGATTTGCTTGATGTGAAGCAGAAAAACAGATGCACTGGGGCGAAATGGGAAGTTTCCTCTCGTGAAATAAGGGTGCTGAGGCGGCAGGAGGGCTGCATTTCACACAAGTGGCCATTAAAAGGTAAATGTAATCACATGTACCTCAGCAAGCTGTGTTCATAGCTTCACCTAAGCTGTGGTTACAGACTGCTTCCTAATCCTGGGTCGCCTCTAGTTTTATAAGTTCAAAGATCAATAAGTAAGGAGCTAAAATCCAACAAAATATATGATGGAATATTTCATCTTATCACAGTCTTTGCTACAGTTATGTGATGGGTGTAATGGCTCAACAGACTCAATATGGTTGAAGTGTGACAGAAAACATGAAACTACTGTTTGAACAATGTTTAAATGTGAAGCAGGTCCTGATCCTGATGATCGGACCAACCAATCTGGCATCTTCTGAATTTCAAAAGATGATCTCAGTACTTGCAGACCAGACCAGTACACAGAAATCACTGTTCGCTCTCTCATCGAGAGCAGACAGCCCTGCCGTGGAGCTGCTGCTGACGACTTTAACATCAGATCCTAAAGATTTGGAGTAAAATTCAGAAGTAGCAGCTGTAGGGGCTCTCTGTTTGTTTCTCCTGTCAGGGGCTTCCCTCCGTGTAGGAAGTGTTGGTGTCTGCAGCGGTGGAAGGATTCACGACCGATAAGGCCAGGTGACAGAGTCCTATATGGAACCTGTGATTTTTACCACTCAGAGCAACAGCTGCAAACGTCTCCCTCTCAGCTTATATCCCAGCACTCAACACTGGTGTGAAAATACTCAAGAGAGGTGACATAGCTGTTAGTGGCTGCACGTTATATGTTGATGCACTGCTGCTGGGTAGATGGAGGAGTGTGGCTCACCCTCTGATAGGACGCGTTTGCAGTTATAATAGTTCATACAACTTTAGCTCAGCCAGCAGGAATATCAGGGTCAAGGAGCTTTTTTAATGGCTGCTATTACATGTTAATAACAGCAGTTATGGCTGTTTTTGCTAACCTCCAAGAGCAAAAATGGCATGGAAGTCACATTGACAAGCTAAGACCAATACCATGAAATTACCCAGAGTTCTTGGAGTCTCTCTAACCTCGTCTCCTTATTTCTGAGATAATGTTTCCACATCACAGCCGTATCTGGTTTGTTTTGGTCCTACCTTTTCATTCCAGTGGTCTGGAACACTTGGCTTCAAATTCCTGAACTTGCTTGAATTTGAAGTACTGTTGACCACACTCTGGCTTCAAACAACACAACCAATGAGCCGGCCTTATTTAGATAACTTCCACTATTCCACTCCACTCTCCCGTGCCCAGCCACTCTGCAGCTATCTCTCACCCTCATTTCCTCGAGCCATGGATGAGTGAGATTCCTCATGCCTTTCAGTGTTTACACAGTGGGGGGAGGTGGGGGCTGTTGATTTACTGCCTTAAAGTGTCTTGGTGCCTGCATTGCGTTCCCTTCACTGCCATGCTGTTGTACTTTGTGCCTGTTTTTCTTAAAAAAGGGGGAAAACTCCTTTTTTCTCTTCAGTATTTCTTTTATGTGGGTCCCACTTTTCCGCCTCATTGCTGTTGCACATTTAAAGGTAACGACTGATCTCACTGCTTTATTGCACGACCTGTGTACTTCTAAATAGTCGTGTGGACTGTCTGACTCCTGAGAGATTTCTCAGGTAGAGCACACCGGGGTGCCTAAACGGGGAACACGTCTGTTTTCTTGAGTTCAGCTTAAGAACTATGGGAGTGAAGTGCGGAGGCTTTTTTCCTGTACGACCTCTGCACTGCTGATGGACTCTCATCACGAGCGGTCATTAAAAGCATGGGTAGGGTGGGCAGAGCCCCCGTCGCTTCTTTGATAGCCTGTGTTTTGAGAGAGCAGACTGCATCATTCTCCCTCTGGGGAGCAGCCCCACCCGTGCGTTTTGGCGACAAAATTACCTGCAAGCCCGCGTCATCGTTGGGTCTGCAGCCTGAAGGTAATCTCACATGATTGCTGGAGTTTTGCTTCTTATATGACATTTGCCCGGGGAGGTTTTTTAAATGCTGCCCCTCTGTGCTTCAAATGTCCCCACGTGGCAAAAGGAAAAGAGAAAAATAACATTTTATTAACCTTTCAGTGAGTCATGGCCTCCTGCACATTAACAATATATTATAAAAGTCCTTAAGTTTCATTTTTGGTCACTTCTTTCAGTTTGGAGAAATGTTGCAGGAGCAGCAGGTTATCACAGGGCAGTGCTGAGTCTGCGCTATAACCGGCCTGTCGTCTTAGACGCTCTGTCAAGTCATCATCTTTACTCTGATGTGTTTAAAAAGACAAAGATTGGCACGGCTCAAAGTCTGTGGGTGTGCTCGTTCTCTCTCTTCAACCATCTTTTAACTGTTGAATGATTAGAAAAAACCAAACTTCAGTTTTTAAATCCACTTTAAGCCCAAACCAGACTTCTTTTACACATGGAGGCAGATGGCTTTGCACACAAACAACCAGTCAGGCTCTAATTAAAACCACCCATCCAACCTAAACAACCCCCAGCCCCTCTCACGGAGGCGAATTGTGGCATTTTGCTTGTTTATCTTCAGCTGCCGCCCCGGCCGGTGGCCAGGATAAACCAACAGCAACGTGCTAAGAGTTTGTTTTTGTCAGAGCCTGAGGACTCGACATGTGGTCCCCCTCAGCCTGCTACCACCACTCCTGCTACTACTGCGACTGCACGCGACACCTGGAAGACACGTAGATCTCTCTGCCTCAGCTGTCAGAGCTTGCAAACATCATATGCTTTTTTTTAGGATTCTGGTGAAGGCGACAGCTGGTGTGTGTGTGGGCGGGGTTATTATATTGCAGTTGATTGAAAGTGGCTCTAATCTGAGTGAAAAGGTCGTTGTAATGCTGCTAAAACGTCTTTTAAGAACAAGCGAGATCTCCAGACTGGAAAAATCGGAAGAAGGTTCCAAAATAAGATTTCAAACACTCCTGTATTTGCTGCTAGGCACAAATCCTGCTCTGGTATGAGACCGAGAGATTAAGGAGAAGGACTCTGATCTCACCGTGTCCTCGATCCATGTTTTTTTTCTTCTTTCTTTGTATAAGAGACCACCTTTATCTTCAAAGAACCCCACCTGTCCCTGGCAGCATGAGATTAATCCAAATTGTGCTCAGAGACATCAGAGAGGGCGAGTGATGTAAAAGTCCTGGAGCTCAGAACAACTTGTTGCAGTGTTATAGCTCACTATTAAACCCAGACTGTCTTCTGAAAACAGGGCCTCTGTAAATTAATTCAAATCAAATCCCAAAACTCTGGTCATCAGACACTGGCAGATATCGCCTCATTTTTCCCTGCACATTTGAATCTGTAAAGTTAATCTACAAAGATGATGCTCCCTTTTTTCTCTGTGCAGCAGACGTCTCTAACCTCAGCGGTTAGGAGAGCACACTTGAGATCAGGGCGTTGGCTGTTCAGATCCCAGCTGGGAAAAGTGAAAGACTCGTGTTCTCAGCACTAGATCACCTGCTGCTGTTGATGCGCCCTTCAGCTTAACCCCAGCGGAGCATTCGCGGCTGCTTTGCGGACACTCGGCATCTGCGACATCTCTGAGAAACTGCAACTGCGCCTGTGCTGCGTTGCTGCTCGAGAACGAGCGCTTTGGCTCAGTAGAAAACCTCAGCGGACTATTTGAAGATCCCAGAGCTGAGTGAGGATAGCCCTTTTTCTCCCTCCATCACACTCGTGATGTCCCTCTCTCGCGGGGAAGCCACATGGTGCGGCAGATGCTCGGGCCGCGACTCCACACACGCACCATTCTCATGGAAATGGCCATGGTTGTCTGGCTGAATGATGGCTGTGGTGGGTGTGTGCACACGTGCATTGTGGAGGGGCGTGTGTGAAAGAGGCAGACTCGGCTGGGTGGGAGCTTCGTGTGTGCTCATGAATAAATCGAATGTTTTGGTATCTGTCAGAGCAAACAGGACTGTCTTGTGATTTTTTCACCACTTGGTTTGATCAGCTGATGTTTTCCCTTTTTCTAAGACAGCCTGTAAATCAGGTTGCCGCCACAGGCCAACAAAACCTTAAACTCACTCGAACTGTTTGTGCCAGCGTGTGGGGCAGGTGCAATTTATACCTCCTGGCATCTCCTCCCTGCCAGCGCTGCACTGCGTCAGCCTCGAAGGCTTCCTGGCTCGGCAGGCAGCCACGGGGCAGCATATTGTCAAGGCGGCAGGGGTGTGAAGGTATACGGAGGCGGGGTTGTTGGACCTTGCACTAACCCCCCCCCCCCTCCAACCTCCACCTCGCCACCCACACAAGTGTGAAAAGACTCATTGTGTTTCCTCAGCCGTAAGTCTGCCTGGCATGGGACGGAGCCGGGTTCAGAGGTCAGGAGGCTGGTAAACTGCAGAGGAACGTGTACGTGAGGGTTTTGTTCTCTTTGTGGAAGCTGACTTGAATTTTAAATGCGAGACTGAGGAGTTTTTAAATCTTTAACCCTCTCAGGCTCAAATTAAGTTTTTGTTGCTAATGCACAACAAATACCTGCAGTGGTACTTCTGAGTAAAAGCTTTTAACTGTTGCAAATCTGCAACGCCTGCCTCGAGAGGGTTAAACGGGCTGCTAGATCAACAAACCGAGACTTGTTGCTGTAGCAGTCGCAGGTACGCTGCAGAATTTCTCACCTCTCCCTCTGACATGTCTGTGCTGCTGCTGACCTGCGTGCACCTGGAGAGTTTTCCACGGAGGAAGTCATGAGGTGTTTAACTGAACTGTTATTCTGTAAGTGAACTGCAAATTACTGCTGGCAGCAGTGCTTAATGCACTCCTTTTTCATGCAAAGCACCAAAGTTTTGGAATGTAAAATGTCAAAACACATTAAGAAAGTAATGCAAAGTATAATTCAGTCCAGTGTTTATGGGAATCGGTTGATATGACTCCAGTTTGGGGCAGTTTTGTTTCTCCTTCAGCTTTGAAAAGGCAGATTTGACACCTAACCTCTCGCTGCCTTTGCTCCAGAGAACACGTGTGCCCCTCTCTGTATCGCGTTCGGCATAATGATCTATTCTGCCTTCTTCAACATACACAAACACACACAGTCTCCTTCTTGCTTTTAGTCACGCACATTCACATGGCAGGGTCGGAAGTTAACCGACAATGTGCTGGATTCTCCGGTGTGAGGACTCTCACGAGCTCTTACATGTTTTTAAGTGTGTTTTCCGTTTTATTTCTCTTGCAGCACAGATGCAGAGCTTCCTTTAATACCACCCGCTTAGGAGTTGAGTCAGAAGACCTTTTGAATTACTAATATTTTGTAATTATCTCATGAAAGCTTAAACCCTCGTTTGTTTTCAGTCGTTAGCGCCGGCTTAGATGTTGCTGCTTACTGGACTGGAGGTGATGCACATTATCTGCATAGTAATGTTGCGGTCACATAGAACAAAGGCCTAATCCTGTGAGGGTTAAGAGTTCAGCTTCCTGTAAAGCTTAGCGAGGTCAAAACTGAACAAACTGTCTGCCAGCTGTGTGTTCCTGTTATCTTGTGATCCAAATGACTCATAAGACTCCATCATCCTCGTGTCCTGTCCAACCCAAATTTTGTTTTTCAGCTCTTTTTTTTCTTCTTCTTTTCTCTCAGTCGTCCATTTGTACGTCCAAATAAACTCAAACCACAAACCAGAAACCTTAAAAAGTCCAGAGTCTGGGAGCTATTTCGGATCCGTCTGGACCTGCATCAGCATTCGTGGTTAAATATCTAAAAAGCACCGTCTCACTCTTCCTGTGTTTGTCCTCTTTGTTTGCACAGGACACGATGCCTCAGACACCACCATTCACGGGGCAGCTGAACACTGGCAGCTATAACAAGAACCTGTACCAGACCAAGGAGGAAGGCTACCCCGGCCTCTATTATAATGACAACAACCTGGTGTCCGGGTCTCTGGAGGCCCTCATTCACCACTTGGTCCCAACTGTGGACTATTATCCAGATGTGAGTGTTGCATTGTGACGCTTTCAAATGCTAAATATATATTTTTAATTCAAGCTTTAAGAATCCAATCATAATTGTGTCTTTTATCTCAACAGAGGACATACATCTTCACCTTCCTGCTCAGTTCTCGCCTCTTCATCCATCCTTACGAACTGATGTCCAAAGTGTGTCACCTGTGCACGGAGCAGCAGCGGCTTGGCGATCCCCAAGCTGATAAGGTATGCTGGGGGGGGACTTCTATTTAAAAAACCCACCATCACTGCTATGTTCAGTTTCAAACAATGGCATTAAAAGTGAAATATTGAGTTCTAACAGGACTCAAAAATCGCATTTTCAGATGAGAGTCAGGAAGATTGCTCCCAAAATCCTCCAGCTGCTGACAGAGTGGACAGAAACCTTCCCGTATGACTTTAGGGATGAGAGGATGATGCGGAGCCTGAAAGAGCTGACCCACCGGCTTGCCAGCGGAGACGAGGTCAGTCCCTTCTGTCTTTCTTCATTTCCACTCACCACGACACGCAGCGATTTTCTAGATTAGTCAAGTAGCAAATGACCTGCTGATTAGATAATACGTTTAGTTTTAGGTGTTATCACCAATAGTGCTGTTTAGCAGACTGCACGTGCAGTAAAGCTACAGGCGCAGGCAGATTTTTTGCAGATAGCAGCGGAGGGAGGTGGAGTGGGGGTATCTCTGGCAACAAAGCACTTTTGAGCCCGGATCGGTTGAGAGAAAAGCCCCATTGTTTATGGCCTAGGTGGGTTTTTTGTCATCCCTGCAGTGCTCCTTCTTAGGCAGCGTTTGGATTGTTCCTCTGCAGCAGAGCTGAATGTCAGCGGCTCAGCGCGCCTTTAGCCTCGCTGCACCGTGTTTTTACTAAGCTTGAACAGTTTTTTGTCCCGTGCCCTCTGTTATCTTTGGGGTACGTGCTGACCCTCCGACTTTACACATTTAGATATAGAAACGTTGTTTTCACAAGCAGTGACTCGTGCTGTGTATGCTATGAAAGGAAGTGCTAGCATAAGCTAAAGTGCTAGCAGGAAGCAAAATGGAAATTTAGAGGTGAAAGCCCCCCACGTGAACCATGACAGGTTAATATATCTCTCAAATATGAGTGCTTGCACTTGGCAAAACTGCAGAGCTATGCTAATGTAGATCATTTTTCCTGTGGGACAGTTTGTTTCATGCAGGGATCCACTGAAAGATGTTTCCCTCATGATGATTCGTCTTTTTCTGCTAGAATCAAGTTTACTCGTGCTCCTATCCTTCCATGTCACCGTCTCATGTTCCCAGTTAAATTGTCTTTGGTCTGAACAATTAATGATATTAGTCCTCATCAGACCGGCTTCTTCCAGTGCACGTGCTGATTGGTTGAGTCATCCTTTTGCTCGGGAAAGTGGCACACACAAACTAAGTGTGTGTATTTTTGGATGTTTTAGTTGTTGCAGCAGCAGCTTGTCAGGACCAGATAGCGATGAAGAAGATAAACACCCCCACCCTCCCCCACCCCCTCTTTAGCACTCGAGACAAGAAAAACACGCACCCCCACTTTTTTAATCAGGCTCCACAGGACTCGCCGATGGTGCGAGGACAAGTATTGATCCCGACTTTATCTAGAAATCAATTCAACCTCACATGACACTTGGACACATTTACAGCTTTCCAGATCCCTCACCCACCCCCATGGAAACTTACCCAGGGTCGACAGCAGTACACACACTCGTAGACATTCTCATAAACACACACACGCTGTTTTGACGGTCATGCAAACACCTTTTGATTTCACACTAGATTGGCTGCAGCTGGCGTTAACACCAAACCTCTGTGGATATTTTTGATAGTTGAAATTGATTCTGGCTTCGGGGGAAACAGACATAAGGTGAAGATTCCCAGGAACTTTTACCTGAGATAACACCATGGTTGGCATATTTAACGGGGAAAAAAGAGAGAGGTACTATTTGCTGCTAGTCAGTTAAGACCAAAATTAAACATTATCTCTACTGACAAATAGATTTGAACTAGATATCTTCAACATACACAAACACACACAGTCTCCTTC